ATACTGATACTTAGATACTCTCAATGTGTTTTGTGAGACGCTCAGTCAAAATTCTGCTAGAAAAACAAGCTTTATTAGTTATATTTGCTACAGTTAGTGTGTTGCTAATGGAAGCTAACTGCTTGCTAAACGAGGTATTATTTACCGTCCTTTTTCCCATCCGGAACAGACTCCTGTGTTAAGCTGTCAAGCGCACATTGATGGGAGATTGTGTCTTCTGTTGTACTAGTTAAGCTCATAAATAAATGTTCAAAAGTGTGTTTGATTACTAGTTTAGCTACTCTTATTCTAATCTATCTGGTTTGTTAAAAATGTAAACTGAGAAACATGTTGTCAAAAAAATAAAGTGTAATAATAACAACAACCACTATATGATCTGTAGTATAGGGCAGGTAATGTTGCTAGTGACCTGTAGGGGCACTGTGGGCTGACAACAGGTTAGTTTTTAGTTGTGGTACCTTCTTTACCCAGCAAGAAAGCGTTGAAGCTTCAGTGATGAAGATGTGAACATGTAGCATGGTTTTTGCTCCTGTTTTTCTTATATAAAGTTCCACTACACTTCAAGAACCGTTTGGTCTCCTTATTTACTAGGATATCACATATTGACGACGAGGAAACTGGAGAACTCAGAGCCCGATGTTAGAATGACGACGGCGGGCGAGTTTTTTTTTTTTTTTTTCAAGACGGTGGGGTTCAGTTAATGTCGGACGACGAAAAGACTGTGGCTGCCGGAGTTATGGCTGTTTCCATGTTGGGGTTGCTGGCTGCATTCAACTGCCAAACACAGACCTGGGAGGAGTATTGTGAAGTGTTGGAGCACTTTTTTGAAGCAAACCAGATAACGGATGCAGGCCGGAAGCGAGCCACATTGTTGGGCTCAGTGGGCGGCAAGACGTACAGTCTGATGAGGAACTTATTGAGCCCTGATAAGCCGGGGGATAAATCGTTCACAGAGTTGACGAGCTTACTTAAGTCACATTAAATGTGCAGGTCGATGCCCTCCAGGGACCAGCAGAGAAAGAGGGAGGAAAAGAGCAGCATAAAGGACAGAAGGGGAAACCGGAAAACAAAACAACAGAATGTACACCACATGCGTGAAGCTGCAGATCAACAAACCAATGAAGAAGAGGAAGTGTTTACTATGCACAACATGAAAGAGTCAAGGATGGAAAGGGTCGATCCCATTACAGCACAGTTGGATTTAAATGGTAAAATGATCCATTTTGAAGTGGATACTGGCTGTAGTGTGACAGTTTTGTCAAAGGCTGAATATGGGAAGTTATGGCAAGACGGTTGAAGCTCAAGAGTTGCAGGACTGTTCAGTGACTTTGAAAACATATACAGGTGAAAAAAGTCCCCACCCTAGGGATGGCAAAAGTAACTGTAACACATAAAGACAAAGTCAGGCAGTTGCCAGTCATGGTGGTAGCAGGTAGCGGACCAAACCTGTTAGGCCGAGCGTGGCTAAAAGAGCTGAAAATGGGCTGTCTACAGCTCCCTAAAATAGAACAGCATCCGCTGACCTTGCAAGATGGGCTGGAGAAAAGTGAAGAAGTGTTCAAAAAAAGGAACTGGGTACCTGGAGGGGTCCACCAGCAAAGATACACATAAAGGAAAACGCAACGCCAAGATTCTACCAACCAAAACTCGTACCATACACAATGAGGAAGAAAATGGAGACCGAGCTGGAGACACTCACAAAGCAAGGCATCATTGAACCAGTGAAGTTTTCGGAGTGCGCGGCACCAATTGTTCCAGTATTAAAGCCAGATGATACTGCACGCGTATGTGGTGACTACAAGCTAACAGTTAACCAAGTCTCAAAGCTGGAGCAGTATCCAGTACCAAAGTTGGAGGATTTATTTGAAAAGCTGTCTGGAAGTGAAAAGTTTAGCAAACTGGACCTCAGTCATGCATATCAACAAGTCGTTCTGGATGAAGGGTCCAAGTCATATTTCACCATTAACACACACAAAGGTTTGTTCCAAGTTAATCATTTACCCTTTGGTGTTTCCTCTAGTCCAGCTATTTTCCAGAGAATAATGGAGGGACTGGTGGCAGGAACCCCAAATGTGGCTGTCTACTTGGACGACATCCTGCTGACGGGTAGGAACAGCTGCAAGCATCTGGAGACCTTGAACAAGGTGCTGAGGAGACTGCGAGAGGCAGGTCTGCGGGTGAAGCGGAGTAAATGAACTTTCATGGAACAGGAAGCAGAGTTCCTGGGCTACAAGGTGGACGCATTGGGCCTCCACCCCCTGCCAAACAACTCAAAAGCCATACAGCAGGCACCTGCACCCACAAATGTTACAGAACTGAAGGCCTACCTAGGCTTGCTCAACTACTATGACAGGTTCCTACCAAACCTGTCAACGCTGTTAGCTCTTTTACATAAACTATTAAGGAAGGAGACACTGTGGACATGACAGGAGGATCAGGACAGAGCATTTGAGCAGTCAAAGAAGCTAATGCAGTCATCACCAGTGTGTGAAAGTGTGAATGACTGATTGTGTTGTGAGGCGCCTTGGGGGGTTGTAGAACCCTGTAGCGAGGAGGGTTTAATTACATTTAATTAAGGACCATAAGACATTAAAAATTCATATCTAGTATGAATCCCATCCCATGGACCCTGGGTTATTTAAATCAGAAGATTGGATCTTTTTATTACAGGGACTTTAAAATAACACTTTGCATGAACTGAGAGACAAGAGAAGAGAGAGAGACTTTCAATGTTTAAGTAAATTTATTACTAAATAATTTTAAACAATTTAACAAGACTAACTCTCTAATGATGGATGTTCTGTTGGAATGAAGAGTGAGGTGAATGGTGTGTGTGAATGATGTTAAATTCAGAACCTCCGCATCCGGAGAAGCGAAGTCTGAGTGGGAGATGATGTTTTGCTCCTAACTGATCAGAGTTTGAGACCCGTGGTCATAAACACATGAGACGCCATTCTGTCACATCCACATACCCTCAATGAGACCTCCGCGATGGATCCAGAATGCCCAGGTCCTCGGACCTTCCTTCCGGTACTGGAGCCAATGGTACAGCGTCACAGCACGACAAACTAGTCCTTGGATTGTCTCCAGGTAAACAGCGACAGGTGTTTCACAGCGTCAAAAAGAGACCCTCCATGGGTCAGCGAGTTCAGCTTTTATTCTGAAGGAACCGTTGTTTGATTGGTAACAACGGAATTTTCCCAGCTTGAATGGTTCTCAGCTTAGAAAGAAAAGTATAGATGGCCTGCCCATACTTCACTTAACATGTGGTGAACTTCATGGGATCTTGAGAACGAGATCTTGAGAACTGACTTAAAATGGCGTTGGAACTGTTTTATTAATCTGGATGTTTATGATTCTGGACGAATCAAAGCTGACAGATTTAATAAACACCACAGAGGCTTCATACTAGGAAGGTTCTGATTGGATCAGCAACAGCAATGTGTCGTGATTATTTACCTTAATGTATCAGCGTGTCTAGTGACTAGAATAAGTCATTTACTTAATAAAAACATTAATCATAATATTGTGATTTCACAGATCGGTCTCATTGTATTATTGACTAACAGTTGTTTTGATTAGCTTTTTTGAAAATAGAGTTCTTTGATTTTGATAAAAGAAAAGAGTCTTCATCTTCTGTCTTCATTGCTGGAAAGTAAAGAGTTTAGAAGCGAATGCATGACCTTGAGGCTGTTTCATGCACTCTGGCGCCGTGTCAAAGGGAACTGTGGTTAGAGGATAAATAACCTTGAAGAATAGCTCCTTCATCACGTTACGACCCTAAAAGGCGCAATACAAATACAATTCACTCAGCTGGTCCTCGATCTGCTGAGGTGGAGGGGACAAGGTCTCCTCTGTCTTTTAACCCAGCATCAGTTTTTTCGAACATTTAATTAGATTTTAGACATTTACATGTTTTATTGTCGTTTTTATTATTTTGGAGATAATATGTTTTGGGCCAAAAGCAACCATTGGACCATCCGGTTACCGCTCTGGTCACACCTCCCTGGGCCCTTCACTATCAAACATTCACGTGTTCAGCAACAGAACACCACTGGTGTGGGAGGTTCTCTGCTCAGCAGTATCAGAGAAGGAGAAACAGCCGGCTGCTACCACTTCTACTTTAGGACAAACTACCAGAGTCCCAAAAAGAAAAACACCATTGGAAGTCACGGAAAACAAAAGATGTAGGGACCTAGAAAACGGTGACCGGTATTTACCGTAATACTCTCTCGTTTCTCCTCGGTGAACGTGGAACCAGTGAAGATACCCAAAGGGAGGGGTGAGTGTTTCGTGACTGTGTTTCCATTTAAAACCTAGCTTTGCAGATTCGTTATAGCAGCTTTAAATAGACGGGGTTGGTGCAGGATTTACTCAGTGGTCATAAAAGCAAGAAGATCTGGGACAAAAATACAAAAAACAGAAGATAATATCGGGATAAACTACAAACAAATGGACATTACTAAGACACTATTGCAGTTTGTTTGCTAACACGTGGTAAGCCCAACAAGTCTCCAACCGATCACCAAGACAAAGCTAAGAGAGAAACTGGCTCAAGGAACTTCTATAAAAACTATAAAACTTTCTACATACTGAGACGGAAAAATGTGTCCGTTTGGTTTTACTCTCCAAGCAACAAAAAGCTTTTTCCATTAGCGCAACCTTCCTGTAAGAGCGTGACGCCAGCTGCAGAGTTCTCCATCCTCAAACAAACCTGTCCAATCAGTCCCATTCACCTCCAGGACTACTCGGACCTGACCGACCTCTGTAGAGGCCCGGTCCAATCAGCCTTGATCTGAGGTGTGGATGCTTATTCTAGACAGACTCAGGAATTATGCGCTTGAGAGAGACAGGACCACGCATGTTTGGAGAAATAGAGGTGATTCTAAAAATCAACATTTTAGAGTATTGGTAATGAAAACAACTTTACTTGTTTTATGTATTTTATGTGATTGAATCCTACTTTGATCAGATCTGAATGTGTGCTTTAACAAACTCACAGTCCTCAAAGTTGGAGCAACTTCTGCTGTTTTTGCTCTGGTGAGGCGTTCCATCTTGCAGTTTGGAAAGCATGTTTAAGGCCTTTGTCTTCCTCTCCTCCATCCGTTGGTCCCTCTCCTTGGCTATGCCTTTGACCCTCATGGATTCCTGTTCTCCAAACAGAACTGGGTTGCTCCTTCCCAGGTCTCCGAGCTCCTCCTCAGTGGAGTCCTGGTGTTGTGCGTAGACACCTGGAGTGTAAGAATGCAACTTTAAAAGGTTTTTTTAAGCCTAAAATATGCTTGTGAATAAGATTTATTTATTTTGCATTTGTGAGAGAGAAAAAATATTCATGATGATGTAGATAAAAGCAGCTACTACATTCCATTCCCTAATTAAACACTGATTCTGGTCACATTCCCACTTCTCTTTGGTCCTTTCAGGAACACTCGGAAGCAGACGCTGCGCCTGAAACTTAGACATCCACTCATTTTGTCTCCGCCCAGCCAATTAATTCAATTAAATTACATTCAAAAATACTTTACTAATCCCAGAGGGAAATTGATTGCTGTAGTAGCTCAGAATAATAATAATAATCAAGTCATCAAAGAGTTGTTGTATATTACAATGGCTGTTGGCAGGAAGGATCTCCAGTAGCGGTCAGTGTTGCAGTGAAACTGAAGAAGCCTCTGAATGAAGACACTCTTCCGTTGTCGGACAGTCTTGTGAAGAGAATGCTCAGGGTTGTCCATCATTTTCTTGATTCTCTGGAGAATCCTTCTTTGCATTATCTCCTCCAGCGGTTCCGAAACTGCCGAAACTCTGGCTTGAGTCCTTGAAAGGACTTGGAGTTCCTCCATCTTGTTGGCCAGTGATGTCACATTGCCCGTTATGATCGATGGAAGAGATGGTTTGAATTTCCTCTTTCTCTGTCTCCGTTTTGCTCCCGCTCTGCACCCATGCTTCTTGCGTTTTAGCTCATTTGGGATTTGTGGCTTCAGTTGTGGTATTATTTCAGCCTTTCCAATGTTAATCAGCTGCTCCCGATTGTAAACCAGCTTGTTGCCATGGTTATGCATCATAACAAATGCTCAAAAAGTGAAAAAGCTAAAAGATAGCAGTAAAAATCCTCCAAGCTTCACAGCACCAGAAACAGAAAAGTAAAGTGTCCAAAAAAATAGTTTTTCTTGAGAAACTAGAAGAAAAAATGCCCAAGAAAAGGCAAAACTTACATATAGTAAACAGAGCTACTCCAACATGCAGCCACCCAGAGCAGCACAGTTCTGGGAAAAAAAAATAGTGTCCCATTATCTCCCAATATAAAGTCCAAAGAATACACCTTTTGGTGTAGAAGTGTGGAGACAAAGAGGCCCATTCAATATAGGCTCAAGACTACAAAAAGCACATGAATTATCTTCTGCAACAGTGTCCATGCGAGTCTTTTCTTCGTGCTACTTTAGCAAAACGAGAGTTTCTGGTGCGATAATTCAAATGGTGGCACATCTGGAGGCGGTTGCATTCACGAGGGAGGCGAGAGCTGGATCGGTCGAGTAGCTGTCGTGCAGCAGATTCATTAGGGAAGGAATTCATTCATCCCATGAGTGAGCGTTCAGAGGTCAGCAGCACAGATTGATGGAGCTGTGTCTCGTTTGACAGGACGTCTTCCACCAGGCTGCACACAATCACACGCCATCGTGTCCCGCTGCAGCGCCAATGTCACCAAAAACTGGATTTATTCATCTTCACGACACTAAATTCATCATTTCCCCTCATATGCAACACAAAACCCTCGCCGGGACATCACAATGAATAACACGTCAAGATACGAGTTTTCCCCAAACTTTTGTTTGAACTTGATGCAGATTAAAAAATACTTTTGTTTACTGTTTTAGTTTAAGCTAATTTGGCTGGTGTTGGTGAACATGTGTGTGTAAATGAGAGGGACACAAGTAGTAAAGATGGCATTGGACTGTAAGTAGCTTTGGCCTATGGTCAATATCTATGGAGATGGTGGAAAAGAGATGAAGAAGTGTGTGAAGCAGGTTGGAATGGGTGGAGAAAAGTGTCAGGTGTGTGTGTGCTGAAAGGGTTTCAGGTGTAGAAGACAGTGCAGAGAGCTGCCATGTTGTCTGGTTTAGAGAAAGTGTCCATGAGGACAAGGCGTTGGACAGAGGTTCTCTTTGGGAGTGACAAGGCTGGATCAGGAACGAGTCCATCAGAGGGACAGCTCATGTTGGTCCGTCCTCTCTGGCTTTATCTCCAAACATCTGAGACAGTTTGGGCATGTCCAGAGGAGAGACAACGATAACAGGTAGAAGGATGCTGAGGTTGAGGTCCACCAGGCAGGAGGCTGAGAGGAGAACCAACAAGGAGATTTATGGATGTGGTGAAAGAGGACATGATGTTAGTTGGTGTGAGGGTAGAGGATGCAGACTAGGGCTAAATGGAAACAGATGACTGACTGTGGAGATGCCTGAAGGGACAAGCCCAAAGACAAGGAGGAAGCAGTGGGTACATCACAAAAGCTTGAGATAAAACTGAGCTGCAGATTTAGTCTGAGAATCTGACAAAAGCTTGAAGGTTTTTGTCATTTTGAGATAATAACGAGGAACGTTTTCTTGAATGTGTGGCTGATGAAAGGAAAACATTTTTATAGAATCCAACCGCTTTGATGTTTACAAATCTCACAAAGGTGTTTTATACAAACTCTCTAAGTTTTCAAGATAAAAGAAGTAAAAAACGATTTACAACAACAAAAATGTTCAAATAAGTTAATAAAGTTTGGCTTCTTGATGGTTTCAGCTCTGATTGAAGTTTGTGAGTTGACTCAACTTGAATGATGCATCTCTTTTTGAATCTGCCTGCAGCTCTGACTCAAATTACTCTGGATTTGGATATCTCCTGACTAAAACCCCCTATCTTAACCTCCAACATGGCCTAATCTATGAATGCACCGTAGTGATTGCTGGTCAAACTGGAAACCAGAGCTCATCTAAAAACATAGACCAGGTTACCATAACAACAGCAGCATCTGAACACAGCAGATAGCTGGATTTGGCTGCAAGCAGCCATGTCAAATCCCCTGGCTGATCTCAGAAAGGCCACCAGAGACAAAACACACACATGCGCGCACACACACACACACACACACACACCACCCTTAACATCCAGTGCACCAGGCAGAGGCAAGAAGGTTGGACTTGTTCCTTTTTTCCTCTGCATGTTTGAGAATAGGATGAGCATCGGCGGGACAATCAGCAAGCAGAAGCTATTCAGCTCAGGCGCCCTGACCCTTTACCGCTCTATCTCCCGAAAGAATGGCTGAACAACAGGAAGGTGGAGTAAAAAAGGGAAATCCTTAACAAATTATTATTCATGGGAAAGGGATTTTCCTTTCAGGCCTTCTACCAACGCCTCACCCTCCCTATCAGCTCTGACAAGTGCCAATCACAGAAGCTTGAGTCCAGATTTTTGGGGAAATGCTGAAGGATTTCAGAGACAATGGCCTGTGAGTCCACAGCGACAGTGGCTTAGAGACAATAACAACATGGCTACACTGTCAGTGTGTGGTCCTCTGAAGGCGAAGGTGTATGTGTGTGTGTGAGGGGAGGGTGATCCTTGCTCACTACATGACTAATCTCTGCTCAAATCATCTCTGTCTTTCTGCAGCTTAATCTGTCCCGTAGCTTCCTCGGCGAGCTTGGAACAATTTGCCGGGGTCAGTTCAGATTAGTGCTCTTTGTGGCCTCGAACATCGCTGCATTCAATTGGACACTAACATCTTTACTCAGCAGCTGAATGGTAAACCGAGGGCCGAGCCCGGAGTGACTGGGCCAAGGGAGCTAACAGGCATGAAAAAAATATGAGGGAGGGATTATTTCAGCTATGAATGCCTGACGAGCAAACACGGACAAAGCTGTTATCGTGAGCAGAAGCAACTAACGCAGCTGCTTTCTGGCTCCGGTTTAATCTCCGACTCACTCAAATGGATTCAATCGATCCATCGGGAAAACAGGAAAAACAGCGTCTTTAAAAAAAACTCACATTATCTTAAAATTCTCCTTTTAAGAAAAGGCGGTTGGTACATTTTTTTAATGTTTGTTAGCAAAACATCTCGTAAACTACTGGATGGATTTTAATAAAATTCCCAGAAAATGATCACTGGATTTTCATCAACTATTAATCTCATCCAAGATGGCCGCCACAGCTACCACCACCACCAGTGGGTGTTATGATTCGCCCCGTTTTGTGTTGGTTTAACCCTCTTCTCTGTTGTTTTGTTCAGGTCAGCTGCAGCTCCTCTCAGGAGCCATCCCCTTCCCTGTGAACCTCCTGGAGTGCTGCAGCTGAACCACATCACCTTGATTGCCCTCACCCTATTTCAGGCCACTGCTGCCAGTCCTCAGTGTGGAGTTGTCTTTTCTAGTTGTCTGTTTATGGATCAATTTTGGTTTTTGGTTCCCACAGTCAGTGGAGGAAGTTTTGTTATTAAAACACTTTTGAACTCTGGTTAAGGACTATTATTCCTGAGATTGGGTTACTGCCGAACCCCCTCCCCCGTGACAGTGAGGTCTTGCCCAAGGACACAACAGCCAGGATCGAACCTACAACCTTCCGATTGCTGGACAACCCGCTCCCTATCCTGAGCTGCTGCCCATTAAAACAATTAGAAAATAACTCAAATATTAGGCAACAATCGGATGCATGTTTCTAATAGTTTATGTAACAATCTGGAATACGGCGTAAAATTGTGCTCGAGGATTTTTTAAATCATCGCTCGACTCAAGAAGACTTCAGTTGGAAACTCTGGCATGAGAGAAAAACACTCGTTCAGCCTCTCAAGAAGTTTAATTTCATATATAAAAAATACTAAGAAAACGATAATTTTCCTATTCACGTCTTTTGCTCCTAATTTAAATTTAAACAGCTTTTATTAATTAGTAGATTTGTTTTGATTTAGATTTAAAATTTGTGAAATAAAATATCTGCTTCTATTAATACTGGGATTCACTCCACCTGTTCCTATTTGTCAGATTGGGAGTAAGAATCGGCTCTTTTTGGCTGATGAGAGTTCAGATTTTGACGTCGTCATCGTCTTCCTCAGTTTATCCGAGTCCGGGTCGCGGGGGCACATCCCAACTAGGGAGCTCCAGACCGTCCTCTCCCCGGCCACCTCCACCAGCTCCTCCGGCAGGACCCCAAGGCGTTCCCGGACCAGATTGGAGATGTAACCTCTCCAACGTGTCCTGGG